CCATTTTTTTTTTTTTTTTTTTTTTTTATTCTTTATTTATAGACAATAAGGGTGGGGTACATTGAACAAAAACCTGAGGAGGCCACATGGTCTCGCATAATGTTTAAGTGATCACACATTCTAGTGACCGGTCACACATTCTAACCCAGTCACAATCTGTGATAGAACACCGGCACGACGCTGATTGGCCGGGAGACCGGCTTCCCAGCCAATCAGCATGGAGCCGCTCTAAACTGTCCAGGATTGGAAGTTTCCCTTGTTGCTGAAGACCCGGTCCTTGGCAATGTCTGAGGATCTCCTCGTGTGCTGATCTCTCTACTTTGTAATCTTTACTTTGTAACTTTTCTCTAATAAATGAGCCTTCATTGTGAGCTCAGGTTGTTATTCCTCATCACCATGTTCATCTCACACGTCTCGCTGTGTTCCAGGAGCGAGCCTCCCAGACAGAGCCACCTCCGAGGGCCACCTTCTCCTCCACCGCAAACCAGGTACCGTTATTCTTCCTTCCACTAATAGAATAAAGTAGGAGAAGTGTTTTCTAGCACTGCCCTGAATGTATCGCACAATACAGCAAACAATAACCTTGAAATAACGTTCCTTTATAGGGGTGAAATTACTAATCAACCAACGTCAGTCTATTTGACAAAACAATTCAAAAAGTGAGCCCAAATTTTAATAAGAACCCTCGCACAGCCCCGAATCTAACACTTACTAATGATCAAATGTCCACTAAAGCCGCGGCAGGTGGAGGGGGCGGGATCTATGTACAGGCACAGCCACTGATTGGCTGTTCTTGTGGCACCCTGTGCCCGCAGCTTTGCCCCTCTACTCTTAATTCGAGGGGAGCCTAGTGCTGGGGGAAGGTAAGTAATATATAGGGCAATGAGTCATTTTTAGGTTAGAGAATTTGTTAAGGGGCTTGAACAGTTTTAAACTCATCTCCTGGCAAAAAGTCAGCTGCCAACTCCTCTTCTAAGACCTGAGAGGACGGCGCCACTGGAAAGCCGATAGGAAGTGCTCATGTCATGCAGGCGGTGATGTGGACACCCCAAAGGACAGAACCTACTGATAAAAGAAGAAGAGAGAAGACTCGGCAATGGAGGACAGAAAGTGCCCATGTCATGCAAGCTGTGACTGATGCCAGAAGAAGGACCTTGCCGCCTGCAAACAGGAGAAGAGAGAAGACTCGGGAATGGAGCGTCACCTGATCACGCTCTTTAAAAAGGGCATTTCGAATTTTTGTGTTGTAATGCCAGTGATCACTTAGAGGGGTCGGGGGTAAGGGGAGCCCAGAGATGAGCTTTAGGCCTCATTCACACACAACGCAAGAGCAAAATTGTATATGCGCGTATATACGAGCGTATATGCGAGCGTATATATGCGTGCACTATTTGCAGCATTCCTAATAAAAATTTTAATGAACTGTACGCGCGTATATATGCGCAAACATGCGTATGCGCGTAAAATACGCAGAAATGCGCTGCCCGGACCCATCTCTGTTCCATTCTGTTTTTGTGCATTTTTACGCTATGCAAATATACGGCTCCATACGCGACTATGTGTATGGAGCCATTTATTTGCATATGGTACAATACGCACATACGCGCATATACGCGTGGCAGTGTGAATGAGGTCTTAAAGCCTATCTTTGGGAAAACGACAACATATGCTGCAATACTCACCTCCAGAGCTCTCCCATGTGCAGGAGAGATGCTGGTTTATGTCAAAGGGGACATAAACCCC